CTCGAGTTTTTCCCTTGGTGCTTTCTTCAATTTTTCCGACTTCTTCGGTGCATTGATCCCAGTTCTTTGCAGATTACAAAATGATGCCGCCGCCCATAGCACTGATACATCACTTTGGCCTTACAGTTCCTCGACGTGTGCTTCAGGCCAAAACACACGAAGCATGCCTCCGACGATTGCAATGCCTTCATCTTTTTGTCACGATTTATATTTTTCTTGCTTTCAAACACTGCTTGATCGCATGTCCTTTATCGTATAATAAGCACCCTTCCCAGCAGCTTTCCCAGACGATGTGGCTTGAGATACTAAACTCGATGCCCTTGGAACATCTTCTACGAACTCTTTCTTTTCAGTCTTGCATTTCTTGGAGTCCTGATGACATAGCTGTCCCGAATCTTTGTGTAGCTAATCGAATTCATTGCTCACTGTTGATTTCTCTGAGCAAGAACTCCTTGAACTGGTCATATGTACCCCCTAAGTTGGCCTTCTCTTTGCGTTTCCAGATCTTCAACGTTTCCAATGGTAAATATGATCCAACCAAAGCACATCGCAAAATGTCAAGAAACTTACTGTCATTTATATTCAACGTTGGCAGCTTGATCTTTGCTGTTGATGACATTGTACGGCAAAAAGAGAGTGCTTTCCCTTATTCTTCGAATTGGCTTCCATGATAAGTGCGATGTAGTCACGAACGTACAACTTGGACAACAACTCTCTCTTCTCAAAACGATCTTCTAGAGCTTTGATGACTTTCGAATAATTATCTCTATTTTGCGGGTAGGAAGCCATCAACAGAACTTCGGAGCCAGGTATCATATATTGCGTGGAACTTATCAATTGCCGGTATTCTCACATCTCTATAGATGATCCTAAATTGACTCCACCAGGAGATCCATTCATGTATTATAAGTCGCCCTCAAATTTTCTCAGCTCAAACTTTGGTTGCCGGTAATTCTTCTGATCTTGATCACTTTGTCTTTCTCAGGATTACCCTTAATTGATTTCTCCACCTCCTCGTATGTACATTTCGCTTAGAACCATCTCTCGCGATACGATGCTGCTTCTGCTGTATCCTTTTCTATAATTCTCTCGGCTGCATCGGTATCAATCAACAATTATAATACCTCATTGTCCATAGATTGAAGCTGGTTTGCACATTCTTGTACGACCTGCTCGTACTTTCCTTTAAATCTAACCCAGTTAGTCGCGTCACAAATTAACCTTATTAAATTTATCACAAAGCGCATTGAATCTTTTACGCTTAGTTTTCTTCGACTGGCACAGTTTATCGTACAAATGCTTATTTTTAGACATAGTTATAGACTTTTATTGCTGCTGCACAAAGCCTCAATGCAATATGACACAATGCCCGAATCCTCAGCTAATAAATTACATCACTCTGTTAGGATCCACAATGGTCTTCACCCGGGGCACCAAAAATGTTGAGAAATATATTTATTCCTAACCGGAACAAAAGTCTTGACGCACACAAAAAAATCTGCTACACGTTGCGCACCACAATCTAATCTAAAAAAACTATTGTCTTCTATCTTGATATCAATACATGAAATCTGGAATCTAGAATCATAGTCGTCTCAGCCTGAAGAAAAAAAAAACCAAAAGACGTATTCTGAAAATATGCACAAATCCCCCTTGAGGTGGCAACTTCTTGACAACCTCTTCTCTCTGGTAACCAGGTCGACGCGCCAGATTCAAAATGAAGTCTGTACTTTTCCTTTCTATGCTGAATTCTTAACAGTGCGCTCTGTGTGGCCGCAGCATTAGAGTGACGCCAATGTGGCATCAACAGCCGTTAACGGTCGGCACACAAATGATATCAATTTGGCGTCATCAACCATTAAAGTGTTAAGACAAAGTTTTTCTTCTCGCTTGTGTGGGGCTCGGGAGCCGGGAGCCCGGTAGGAAACATCGCATCACTGATAGCGAGCATAGCGTGCATAGCGTGCGTAGTGCTCTGTGTGATTGCAGCATAATTGCACTAGTAGTAACACAATTATTTACATCAGAGGTGCACAAACGGGGTCATTATATTTTTTTAAAGTTTTTGATTATTATAAAATAAGCAGATGTTTCAGTGTTGGCTCGTTGCTGTTAGGTATTAGCTGTTCTCATAAATTTAATTTTGGATTGTAATCTGTAGGCTTCTCATTGTATTATTTCGGAAATTATTTTGTAAATATAACTCATCAATAATGGAAGACGAAGGAGAAGGAAACTTTTTTCGAGGATGAATATTAGTTCGTTCTACCTTTTTATTTTTCAGATATTCAGTTATTGAATTGTTTTATATATATTGCAAAAATTATTTCTTGTCAATTTTTTACAAAAAGAGCCGGCCATTGGTGAAACTTACTCGCCCAACTACCCGGCCAGTATATGTTAATAATTTTGATTAGACCTTTAGCAATAATATATCGAATTGAAGAAAAAAACATGAAATATCCGGTCTTTTACGTGTTTTTTTAACTTTATCTTTGTTAAAAAAATAGGGCTAAGAAGAAAACAATAACAGCATTCAGAAAACAACAGAAAGAATTAACTTTCAGCTTTCCAACAGTTTTACATGAAGTGCTGTTCGATGATTTTTTCATGAGTAATAAACGAAAATCAAAATGACGATTTTTTTTTCAATCCTTGATAACTTGGTCAAAAAAAATCGCACAGCAATCAATATCCACTCAAACTAAAAGAAAAAAGATTTCACTATAAGATGTGATTAACGGAACATCTCCGTTTTTTTCTAAATCAGGTGTAACGTTGCAAAAGTCTCGTTAAAATATTTTATTTTGATGGATCAAGCTTTATTATTCTGCCGTTTTTGTAAAAAAGAAATTTAAATCTGTAAGGCATTTTGAAAGAAGAAGATTTAAGCTTCAAAATTTATGCTTCTTTTCGAATTAAAATACAATGATTTTCGCGGAATTACAATGTTTTGATAATTGCTTCTTTTGAGCAAATTTTTTTATCTCTTTGTTGTGCGTAATGTTTTTCAAGAATTAAAACCGTAATAAAAAAATCTAACAACACTTTCCTTATGTCGATGCAAATTTTTGGTTGCTGTCGATATAAAATTGGTTATTTAAATAAAAAAAAATAATAAACTCTAAAATGTCTTTCTTAAGATCTATTCTAATATGCAATAATTTTTTTTGTTCTAGATTTTAATTATACTTATATATGTATTTAGAAAGAAAGATTGGTAAAATTAGCGATTTATGCTCCCGGAGTAACTCCTTCAAAACTTTTTCTTATGTTTGGACTCTCACTAAACTCATTTCTGAAGATTGAAATTGTCTAAGTCCCGGGAAAAGTTTTCAAATTCATCAATCTTTGAGAAATATGGTTTTTTAATAATTTCTCCAATAGTCACCTAATGAATCTTTTTTGCATTATAACATATGTTTTATTACTTCTGGTTCCTTCATACGTTGATAATGTAAAAAAATTCATGAGATAATTATTGAAAAAATTATTTTAAAAAAACGCATCAATAGTTCCTCATGACATAAATATTTGAGTAGAAACCACTTATTTATCAGATACATAGTTTCACTCCCGCTCGGTGGTGTTTGGCCCTAGCCACTGCGATGCGTGCGAGAGAAAAATGAACGGCAATCACAAAAATCACCTCACGTGCATTGATCTAATCAATTATGCGTTGTTTTTGCTTTGAAATGTGCAAAAAAAGATGCTTATACAGGGTGTTTTATAATGTTCATATCAATGCTCGTGTGCGAGTGGAGTGCGCGTATTACTCCTGCTCTTGCCACGCGTTGTTATTTTTCGTTGCGATCCTCGTTGCTGTCACGCCTAAAGCGTACGGTCTAGCCGCGCGCAACGCGCGATTATTCGTCAATCCTTTTTAATTAATATCTCAATTATTATTGCGAAAATTGCAAAACGGTAAAGGACTTTTCTATTCAGTTAACCGTATTCTACCTGCACACAAACGTTGGCACAAACATAAAACATCTTGTATATAGGTCGTTCAAATGAAACATAGACTGCACTAATAGCGTTATGAATTTTGATGCAATGGACGGTAAATGGTAGCACTATACAGTATACAACGCGCTGTTATTCAGTTCTTGTGTAAAGAACGCACCGCATCGGTCGAAATCTTTCGTTGTGTACTTATCAGGCGGTTTTCCTTTACTAATCTGTCCACCGCTGCAATGTTTTCCTCTATGATGACGACAGTCGTCTGCCCAGATCTCAGGAGGTCCATCCTCCATGCTCACTTATCCTGCCCCAAACTCGGCATACCATTTGAACACCGTGCTGTGTTTGAAACAGACGTTACCGTAAACTCTGCATGCGACGAAGGATTTCGACTGGTGCGATGCCTTCTTTACACAGGAACTGAATAATAGCGCGTTGTGCCTGCTTGGAGGTATCCATGACACTTGGAGGTATACGTAGTTGAAATAATGTTCTCTTCTACACAATATATACGTTATGCAGACTTACCGCATTGCTTGAAGTTTTCGCATATAATATCAATGTATACAGTGCCACCATTTGCCGCTTATCACATCAAAATTCACAACGCTATTAGCCCTATTAGTCTATGTTTCATTTGTACAACTTATATACAATCATGAATGATCCTGATTAAATGTAAAATACCATAATCTATATAAAACTACATTCTGCAAAAATGATGGATTTGAGAACTTTCCCGGAGTTTAATTTTGACTTTCAGAAATAAGTTCAGCGGGTGTCAAAATATAAAGGAATGTAGGTTTTGAAAGAGCTGCTCTGAGAGCAGGAATCGCTTTTTTTATCCATCCTTTTTTAGAATACGCAATTGCATTGACATAAATATTTTTTCTAATTTTTAATTACTTATTTTCTTCTTTTAAAAAAATTTTTCAGGTATTCTTTTATTATAAAAATAAATTTATTTATATTATTATAAATAATGAAAAAATAGATTCTTTGAAAAAAATCAAGAAAATTAATATAAAAAAACATACGAGCATATGTTCGGCAAGCCATCCCTCCTTCTTAGCTATTGTCGAACCAATTCGGAGCGCAAAGCACTTTTTTCCTAATAAAGAATTTCCGCCATAACCACTTCCATAAGATACAATCTCATTTTTGGCGGGTTTGTGAAGGATAATTGTCCTCTCGGGGTCGCATGGCCAAGAATGATTTGTATTGACTTTGGAATTGTATTTCGGAACACCCATTGAGTGTAAACATTTAATGAAATCATCATTTCCTAAGATTTCAAGTATCTTTTCTCCCATCCTAGTCATTATTCTCATTGAGCAAACTACATAAGCTGAATCGGTAATTTCTATACCGATTTTCGAAAGCGAAGAACCTACAGGTCCCATACTAAAGGGTATCACGTACATTGTACGTCCTATGTTGCAAAAGTTTAGTTACAATTACATATATGACATTAAATAATTATGTTTATATTAGAAGCTTGCAAAAAATTGTCAGACTTTTAATCATTTTTTTAATATTCTTTCTTTATATATGCTATGTTCAATATCATAGCATATATAAAGCATGTATCATAGCACATATGCCATTGTTATCTTCTATTTTGTCACTTTTTAAATAATTACCCAATATCGTATCAACAAAATAACTTTTCTTTTGAATGAAATCAACTTATTTTTTAACTTTCCCGGCATTTTTGTACCGTGCATCAAACAAACCATATATATTGATCTAAGTAAATGAAAATCAGATAGTGCAATGTCTGGAAACTTTAGCTAGGAAACATGAGTTAGGTGCGTGAAGATTTTCCATTCCAATACTAACAATGCTTTTTTAATCGCAGCAGTATTATGAGATCTAACGTTACGTGGAGCATAATGATCTTCCGTCAATTTGCAATTATTTGCAATCGTTTTTCCATCAGTGTTCTTCTCTTTTTCTTCTTTTCAAATATTTTATAGTTATTGACATAACAATTCGCTATGACTATCTGACTCGGTTGCAAAAGCTTATAGTAAAATACTTCTTAATTTCGCTATGTATTAAAAAAAGATTTTATGGCTATGGACGTTTCGTCATAGCGTCAATGCACTAAGGATATCTATGACTTTTTAATTCCTCTTTTCTGCTTGGAAATCAATTACAGATGTTTAACTAAGGAGGATGGGTAAAACCACCGGATTTTGGCCCAAGTGATGGAACCTTTCTTATGCATGTTTTCTTATGTTTTTGGATGTGCTGAATCCATATTAAACGTTATTTTCAAGGTGCCCTGATGGGAAATTATTGAAAAATCGCATTTAAATTGCAGTTTCGGGGTGTTGTTCCGAAAAGCCCACACCTCCAATTTGCTCTAAACTACGCTTTTTATTGTATTTTTGTGCGCTGATTACGAATATGACCATACCGATAGGCCACAAGGTCATTTTCAAAGTCAAAACTTAAAAAAACTCAAAAATTATCATTTTTTTAACATTACTTTGATAAATATTGATGTAACAAAGAAATGTTTCAAATAAAAGTTGTAGCTCTTGAAAAAATACATCATTTATATTTTATACATTTTTTGCATAGAACCAATATTTTTGGAAAAAAATGAGATAGTACGTTAAAAAGTGTATGCGTTTTAACGCCCTCCGCCCCCCCCCTCCTCCAGTATGAGAGTGCCGGAACCCATTGCATCCACAAGTTTTTTTTAATTTTGACTTTGAAAATGACCTTGTTGCTAATCAACATGGTCATATTCGTAATCAACGCGCAAAAATACAATAAAAAGCATAGTTTGGAGCAAATCAGAGGTGCGAGCTTTTCGGAACAACACTTCGGATCTGCAATTTAAATATGATTTTTCAATACTTTCTCATCGGGGCACCTTGAAAACGTTCGATTTGGATTCAGCACATCCAAAAACATAAGAAAACATGCATAAAAAAGGTTCCATTGCTTGGGCCAAAATCCGGTGGTTTTACCTATCTTCCTTTCTAATCACACATTCAGACAATTCACGTGGAATCACGTTTGCATTTCTTCTGAATCTTTTTTATTGCTTCTAAATGCAGTGAAATTATTGATCCATTAATTTCAAGCCTATTTGCAAGCTCTTTCAACGGTTACGTCGAGCCTACGTCGAATAATGCTTACAATTTGTTATTTTCCATTTCTTTTAAACATTCAGTGCGTGTCGTTAAGTGAAATCAACATTTCAAAATCTTTTAAACAATTTTTTTGTAAAAATAGGCGAATATATAATTCTCATTATAAATGTTATAAATAAATGTTTTGCTTCTATAGTTAATTTTTACTTTACTATTAGGTCCAGGCCAGAAAATATTAAGAATAGGAATAAATATTAAATATTAAGAAGAATAATTTGGAATTATTTTACTTCAAATAAGAAACGGAATGAATGAATAATTCCTAATTTTTAATTTATAATTCATGATGCGTTAATCCATTCTATTTTTTTGCTTCAAAATGAGATAATTCTAATTTTCTATTCCCAATATTTTCTCTATTGTGCGTTAGGCCTTATTCATTAAAAAAAATATAATATTTAGAAACATCCATTAGCACTTTATTGTATTTGATGTCTTTTATTGGGCTTTATTTACAATTAAAATACAAATATGATTATGTCAACGACTTGAGGCATATTAATTATAAAGTAGAAGGTAGATAACATTCAAAAAATGAAAAGTTATTTAAAAACAAAACTTTTATGTTACTTTTATTGTAATTTATATACAATCAAACAAACTTTTGCAAGCTCGTAACATGGAAAGTTACAAATTATTATCTAGGGAACTTCCTGAAAAAACAATATTAATTTTTTTAAATTAAAGTTTGAAATGTATTGTTTTTTATGTGATATGGAGTACCGCTGCCAAACTATCCAAGAGACAGAGAACAGAAAAAGTGGCCAAACATTCTTTATTCTTCCAAATAGAAACATATATAATAGTTTTTACATAAATCGATTTTTTAATCATTTTCCATACGCAAACATTAAAGTAAGGTTATTTTATTCTAACATTTTCTGACATAAAATATGAAATATCTCATAATTAAATTACTTTTATATTAAAATATTGCTAATATTTTACAAAATAGGGAATAAAATCAATTAATGTTCCTGTTTTTATTTATATAAACTTAATATTGTACTTGCAATATACAAATATATAAGTATAAAGTCTCATTTTAAATTCCCCAGACAAATAAGTGAGTTGAATAAAAGTTGTAGAATTTTAAGGGAAAAAAATAGTTGATATTAGTTTGACCATGGAATGATCTCGAAAAGCCTCTTCAAGATTAATATAAAAATTTAGGTGGAAACTTTTTCTTGTTAAAATGGGAAAGCGTCTAGCGCCATTTGGGCACGAAATCCTAGCGTTGAAAAACTGAAATGAGTTATCACAAAATTCGTCGATAATTTAGATTACGCATGTGTGTGCACATACAGGATGTCCCATTTTAATTGACCACCTCTGTTAACTTCGCAAGAAATGATTAGATAAAAAAATATTTTCTACAAAAGTTGTTAGGTTTGGAGGGAGACATCCGATGATGACATTGGTTTAACTTAGGGTGTACATGCCAAGGTTATATAAAGGTCAACTTTGTTTTTTTAAATGAAACATCCTATTTTTGATTCTAAAATCTAATAGCTGGTATCAAGAGCTTTTCAAAACACTATAATGAAGTTATTTTTCATTAAGTACTTTTCGAGTTATGAGGCTTGTAAATTACAGTATTTTGACATAAAATATAAAATATCTTGTAAAACATTCAGTTTTTGAGAATGTTACCTTAATACTTTTATGTACAAAATAATGAGACAAATAAATTGGTATAAAGAAAACACATTGGTTTTAAAAAAAAGTATGCAGTTGCATGTTGCAAATTACATATTTTTTCTTGAAAGCAACTAAGTATTTTCTTTATACCAATTGATTCGTCTCATTATTTTGTGCATAAAAGTATTAAGATAAGATTCCCGAAAATTAAATGTTTTACAAGATATTTTGTATTTTATGTCAAAATGCTGTAACTTTCAAGCCTCATAACTCGAAAAGTACTTAATAAAAAATAACTTCAATATAGTGTTTTGAAAAGCACTTGACACCAGCTATTAGATTCTGGAATAAAAAATAGGATGTTCTATTTAAAAAAACAAAATTGACCTTCATATGACCTTGACACGTACACCCTAGGTTAAACCAATGTCACCATCAGATGTCCCCCTCCAAACCCAACAACTTTTGTGGAGAATATTTTTTTATCTGACCATTTCCTGTGAAGTTAACAGAGGTGGTCAATTAAAATGGGACACCCTGTATATGCTTAAATATTTCTTTCTTTTATTTATTATTTTTATTAACAATTAAATTTTCCTCTGTAATAAAAAGCATTTATTTTATATTAATTAAAATATGACTTTTCTATTTATTTTGTCGTCAATAATTAATTGACTGTAATTGATGGCTTGTAAAAATATATTATTTGTAAGTGTAAAGTATAGCTACAATTTTATAAATAAAGTGTAACAGCACGTGCTGTTACTAAGCGGCACGCGGGCTCCACGTGAGCACCCCCATTTAGGGCCGCATTCCGATCCCCCAACTCGGGGGTAAAAGCTTAAGAAGGGGTAGCTGCCGGGTAGGGTAGCACCCCAAGTGGGGGTAGCGCGACCGGTATAAAAGCCGGCTCGCGGAACAGATCGGGACCCATTCCCCGAGTACGACTCGGACAAGCCTCAGGGCGCACTCTGAAGCTCCGGTCGTACTCGCTCCCATCCCGATAGTCGTTCTAGGAGCAGGGCGTTCTCTGCTTCGGTCGGGTGTCCCGGCGTTCGACTTCCTGTACCTCGTCGTTCTAGGGGCAGGGCGTTCTCTGCTTCGGTCGGGTGTCCCGGCGTTCGACTTCCTGTACCTCGTCGTTCTAGGGGCAGGGCGTTCTCTGCCTCGGTCGGGTATCCCGGCGTTCGACTTCCGACTCTCCGTCGTTCTAGGGGCAGGGCGTTCTCTGCCTCGGTCGGGTATCCCGGTGTTCGACTTCCGACTCTCCGTCGTTCTAGGGGCAGGGCGTTCTCTGCCTCGGTCGGGTATTCCGGCGTTCGACTTCCGATACCCCTTGCACGAGAGAAGTCTCTCACTGTCTTCGGACACAGCGTACCGGCAACCGTCGATGACTCAGCAAGGCTCGGATATACGCGGTATCGCTTATTTTTTATTACTTTGCTCCGTACCGTACGAACCGACCGATTAAATAATTTAGTTTGTTTATAATTCAGCCAAAGGCGCACCAACGATTTACGCCGTTTATTTTCCTTTCATTATTCATTCGTTCACAATTAGAATTATACACATGTACCGTCGAAACATTAACTCGTCTAACCGATAAGGAATTATTTCC